GATATGTTTGTCTTCTCTGCTCGACCCCTGGATGGGTTTCCACTAGGGCATATTAGCATGTCTGATCCGCAAAGAACATGGGCTCAAGTCGCTTTGACAGATATGGTCACCGTTCGGCGGTATGACATTTTTAGTGAAGGAGGACAAGCATACCTTGCTTCCATGGATGTGGAAGTAGGTTTTGCTGGCAAAAAGAGGACAGAGACGCCATATGATCAGGATCAGCTGGCTGCGGTAGTCACCAGAGTGAGTATTGGTTTCCTGTGGCTGAGGAAGCAAGTAATATCATGACTAACTGGTAATATAGAATTTTGAAAACCAAATCCTTGCACCTGGCCAAAAGATCTTGATGGATGACAAGAGTATTCCTCTACTATTAACGGTTAAAACTGTCCAACTCGGGAACTTAGCTTCAGAGAAATCGAAATCCTCATCGGCCCCGACAACGTCGGATCCTCACGCGAGAGGAATCCTAACTTCATTTACTCTGATCAACTTTTTCAAAGATGCAAAGACAGGCATCAACGTAAAGCCTTCCAACCGGAGACCCCCAGCAAATTCAATTATCCAACCTGACTTCAAATTCGAAAACATGGGTATTGGTGGCCTAGATATGGAGTTCAGCACTATCTTTCGGAGAGCTTTCGCTTCTCGCATCTTCCCTCCCGGCCTTGTTGAGAAGCTGGGCATTCAGCACGTCAAGGGGATTTTGCTCTACGGGCCGCCTGGAACGGGGAAAACTCTAATTGCTAGACAAATCGGCAAAATGCTCAACGCAAGAGAGCCCAAGGTTATTAACGGCCCCGAGGTTTTAAACAAATATGTCGGACAGTCCGAAGAAAATATTCGAAAACTGTTTGCGGATGCGGAGAAGGAGTACAAAGAAAAGGGGGATGAGAGTGGGCTTCATATCATCATTTTTGACGAGCTGGATGCTGTCTGTAAACAGCGCGGTAGCGGCGCCGGTGGCGGAACAGGTGTTGGTGACAGTGTTGTTAACCAGCTTCTGTCAAAGCTGGACGGTGTCGACCAATTAAACAACATCCTCCTCATTGGTATGACGAATCGTATGGATATGATTGATGACGCTTTGCTGCGGCCAGGTCGCCTGGAAGTTCATATGGAAATTTCGTTGCCAGATGAACATGGACGAGCACAAATTTTGAAAATCCACACGCAGAAGATGAGAGAAAACGACGTGATGGATAGAGATGTTGACCTCCTGGAGCTGGCTCAGCTGACAAAGAACTTTTCAGGGGCTGAGATTAGCGGTTTAGTTAAGTCAGCATCGTCATTTGCATTCAACCGTCATGTAAAGGTTGGCACCATGGCCGGGATCAGCGATGATATTGTTAATATGAAGGTTAACCGCCAAGACTTTCACAATGCTCTTGAGGAGGTGAAACCAGCATTTGGTATTTCTGAAGAAGAGCTTGAAAGTTGTCTCCATGGCGGCATCATAGATTATTCTCCAGAGATCAATAGTATCCTGGGCGAAGGCAAGTTATTTGTTAACCAGGTGCGCGATCCTCAGTCAACAACCTCTCTCTTCTCAGTCCTCCTCCATGGACCTCCAGGCAGTGGCAAGACAGCCTTAGCTGCCAAAATCGCCATTGACTCGGGTTTCCCCTTCGTCAAACTCATCTCTCCTGAAGACATGCTCGGGTACGGCGAGGCCGCAAAAGTTTTGCACATGAGTAAAGTATTTATGGATGCGTACAAGAGTCCTACCAGCGTCATAGTGATGGATAACATCGAGCGAATCATCGACTGGGTCCCCATTGGCCCACGCTTCAGCAACACAGTCCTGCAAACGGTTATGGTGTTGTTGAGAAAACAACCGCCAAAGGACCGTCGCCTGCTCATCCTCGCTACGACCACCGAACGTTCCATCCTGAAACAACTTGACGTTTTTAGCTCTTTCAATTCCGATATCTGTGTCCCGAACGTGAATACCTATTCTGAACTGTCGTACATCCTGAAAGAGACACAGGCGTTCTCTTCAGAAGAGATAGAAAGTGCTCTGGCGGAGCTGCGGGGGTTGACGCAGAGCGAGCGGATTGGGGTTGGAATTAAGAAGGTGCTCCTTGGAATTGGCACGGCCAAGCAGGATACAGATAGGGCAGGCCGATTTGCCTCTGTTATTGCGCGGGCTATTGATGAGCTGAACTATGCGTGATGGTGTATGGAAGGTTATGAAGATTTATGTTTATGATTCTTGATTCTATACCAAGTAGCGTTATAGGTTTTCCATTTTAGAGGAGGGTATTTATCAGATTTATTATAATATAAGATTTATATAATCACTTTTTGGAACATTTGTTACTCTTGTATTTGCATCTCATGGTGCTGGGAGATCTTGGCCCTCGGAGCCAGTTGCGTAGAGTGGAAACTTCACGTGACCTTATATCCTGGGGCAATCGAAGCTTTAACGTCAAGCAAAAAGCTCCGCAAAGTCAAAAGCTTGAATGTCAAACATCATCCCATCTTATGCATCACTATTTTATCTTTATATAAAAAAGAGAAGTTTCACCCATAGCTTCATTAATACACCTATCCTTATTCAGATGCAAAGGTGATAAACGAAGGAATTTTTCAACATCAACCTCAAACATCCTCTGGACACTTATTACATTTCCGTGGCGCTATCCCAACGACAATCCTGACCCCTGAAATACATACACTTATATACATTCATCCAGAGATCAGAGCACTCAGTAAATTAGCTCAGTCTCTCTGTCTTCAAAATGGCAGAAGTTAACACAGAAGATATTGATGTTGTCACAGTGATGGGGTTCACTGAATTTGGAACTCAGCCGAAGAACAAGTGCAAGAATAGAGGTACATCATCAACATCAACATTCACACCTCAACACACTTCACTTCAAAATAATTCTACATATTCTTCATACCCAGCATCGCAATCATCGACATTGCCATCATCATTACCCCCCCATCCACCATTTCCGACTACCGCCGGAACCAAACGAAAATCCCCACCCTTTTCCACAGAACAAGGATACATTACCCCTGAAGCTTATCCTCAGGAATTTGAGAACAGCAATACATCCAATTACATGTCGCCAAACCAGAAAAGAACCGGAAAGAAGAAGACTCAGCAATATGGCGAGGAAAATGGACCTGAAGGTGTGTAAAAAAAAAAAAAAAAAAAAAAAAAAAAAAAAAAAAGAAAAAAAAAGAAAAGAAAAGAAAGAAAGAAAAGAAAGAAGTTATCAATTACGCACTTACTTCACCTTCCCCTTCTTCTTCCACTTCCTCTACGGGGCATTTAATTCTGTGCATGCTATATACATGCACACCCCTTGCCTCCGCCTCTCCCCCCAACACACCTACTAAACAAAACCCCCAACAGGAGCCGAAGCGACTACTCGCACCACCCATTCACATAGGCATAGAGAAAGCAATGTGGACAGGACACCAAGCCCTACTACAGACTACCAGGCGCCCAATGGCACAATCCTTACATCCCAGGAGCTCAGAGAGCTCAAGTTCGGCGTGCGGAACGAAAATGGCGACATGGTTTATTTCCAGCCAAGCTTTATCGAGGATGATCCGTGGGCAGAGTTGGAGGGTGAGGATTGAGGTTCGGTGCGGAGGTGAGAGTTAGGAGTTGGAATGTGGATATGTTGCTAGGTGGTTGGATGGAAATATTGAGATGGTAAGTGGTACTTCTTTTGTCTTAAAATGGTTTTCCCCCTTAAATGTAGAAGGGATTATGAATGTGACGGCTAACTTGGACATGTGAAGAGCAGAAAATTTGCAAGTTTTAATATGTATAGCTACGGAGTACATGTACGATATTGATGACTATGCAAGGCGTTTAGTGTGGGAGGAAAACAGTGGCAACTAATTCATAGCAGAATACCCTAATGGAAGAATGTGATGATACTGCTTTCAAATGAGCAGGGAATATTTGGCATAGTCTTATTTCCAATTCCATCTCTCATTTCTTGATGATTGCTGTAAGTGTATTCTCTCAATCTTGCTTTCAGCTCCATCTCCAAATGAACACAACATAATTTAAGAATGTCAGCCTTGGTTTTTTAACCTTGATCATAATATCTGTGTGTTTTTTCAAAACACATAGAAAGACGCTTATTGACATATTCAGTGTTAGAAAGACAAAAGGAGTTGAGAAAGCATATGACATTTTATGATATGCTCTTAATATTTCCCCTATCATCACTCTCGCTCAACATATGTGTATGAATATTGATATGCACAAGCTAATTCAGAGGCATAGAGAGAAAAAATAGATCTTTTAATTTATAAGAATATATATAACTGATAATTATGTACATGTATGATAGGCTTCATAGTCATATTCTTCAATTTATATACCTGCATGCTTACAGAAGTAGTAAGAGAGTAAGAACATGAGATGAAATGTTCACATTAAACTTCTTTTAACATCTATTGTCAATTATTATTCTAAGAGAATAAAAAATAAAAGAAAAGAAAAGAGAGAGAAAGAAACAGATGAAGAAAAGTCATCAGCAGACTGTTTACCTTATAAAAATTGCACCTGCAACCAGCATCTCACTTCTCAACTCTGCACAGAAAGATAGGCTTCGAAACCAATGCGAGTGAAAGAGGGGCAAAATGACTAGAATACTTCTATATCATGATTACGAACAATTTTGTCCACTTATATTAAGTATTTAAAGAAAGTCCTGCATTCTAGAAGCTTCATTATAACCCCCCTCGCCCAACCCTCTACCCCGCCCCTTGCATAGTATCATACACAACGTGGGGGCGCCATGTGCAGTGTATCCACCCGTGACTATCCCATGCATTGCTTCCTGCTTGGATACATCTACTGTACCTACAGTCTACGCCATAAGACTAAGCCTGTATACACCTTAGTACGCATGTATCATACACATAAATACAATACTGTACCAATAGCCGAAGCCAAGCCAAAGCCGGTCACTGCATCTCGCCCGCAGATCAAATGCTGCAGTTACTGGTCTATGGGTTCAAGGGTCCATGGGTGGTGGGGGTGGATCATGGGTGGGCCCATTGGTCGCACTTAGAAGCGCCGGCTTTGTCAGGGGGCGTAGGGGGCTAAGAGAATGGCCTACAAAAGCGGCAAGAGAGTTGGACGAAAACGTAGGGTGGAGCGGAAACAGCGGTGGGTGGGATTCCCGTCCACCGTACGGAAGGGGGCTAGGAGGCGGAGATGCCATCCGGAGATGGAAGGGGTAGCCATAGCGGAGCGGCTGGCACACACCACGCAAGAGAATCGCGGCTCTGATTTCCAGGGCCGGATCGATGAGTCGAGGGAAAGCGTTCGGCCTAGTCCCCGTGATGTTCATGTGACCTGTCGCTTTCATTCTGGCAGGTATTGAGACGATGGCAGCGTAGGACTGGAGGCTTGTGCAGAATCCAGACACGTAGATGCGACGGCCCGGATTGTAACCGTCATAACACGAAGTGGCAAGGTCCATAGTGGACAATCATTGCAATCCCGGTTGCCTCGCTGGCCCGTACAATAATCATCGTCAGCAAAAAAAAGCAAAGAAAACTGGGTTTGGGGGCTAAATCGGTTATAAATAGATTCATAATTCGAAACGGGGATATAAAATCGATACATAGAGATCGCGACCACCAGAAGATGAAAAAAACCAAAAAATAGAAAAGAAAAAAGAAAAGAAACCAAATCAGAATACATGTTCAAATTGCACAAGTGGCCCTCCTCCAAGAGTTTGCCTGCAGTGGCGAATTGAAATTGCGATAAAAAAAAAAAATCCAAACCAGCCTTCCGAATTCCCAAGTGACGAAAACCTGCAAAAAAGAGAAAATTTTGATGGCGAGTAGTACAATCCCACCAGTCGTAAGCCATTGAAAAGTCATAAAATCATAAGCTAGAAATTCAGGGGCATCAAAATTTGACGAAGGTCAATAGCCGTTGGGATAGGCATATTTGCTTGTTGCGGTGCGGTACTCATTCGGCAGAGTCCGTTCAGCTTTCGCTTTCAAGTTACTAAAATACAGTTAGACATAAAATTACGAAGAAAGCGAAAAATCCAAGTGTTGCGGTTTCAAAATGCAAAATATCGGAATTTCACAAATTTCGCATTCTGACCAAAATGCCAAGACGCGATGTGATGGCGGAGCGCGGCGGAAATGATATTCCGCGAGGGCGGAGCGGAGTCCCCATGATGGGGGTTACGATATTTGGGGCAGGGGACACAAAGACAACAGGGAATGCGGCGGCTTACCTGACACGCTTCTGGGTCCATTCAAGGTCCTGCTTGGTCTCCTTGGCAGCCTTGATGCCATCAGAAAAATTGGCGCGTGCGTTTGTGAGCCGTCGTTGGGCAAGAGCTTGGAGTTCTAGAAGTTCTTGTTGTTTGGCGTTGAGGTGGCCGGAACTGCAGCGGGAATTAGCGTATTTGGACTAATGGGGAAATTCTGGGAAATTTTGCCAGCGCCGGTTTAATATTTTAGGCTTGGAGAATGCTCACAGTTTCGCCTGTTTGGATAATCCTTTATCCAGACGGTTGGGGTCAAAAACATTGGACATGCGGTCATTCAGCATGTCCATGACATCGACACCGGAATAACCCCGGGAGGAGGTGTCGAAGGTTTCTCCACTCGCACTGCCGGTAGTAGTGCTGGCATCGGAGATTTCTGGAGGAGAGCCAGCGACACGGGAGATGGGATAAAAATTTGCGGGGGCCGGAGTCTTTGAAAGCATGGCAATTGGGAGAGAAGTGGGATGGTAGTAACTGCCTCGGACGGAATCCATTATGGCTGATTTTGTGAAGAACTGGGATTCTCCCTGGTTTCTTTTTCTGGGGTAGTTTTTATTGCTGTTGGAGAGCAAGATGGGAACAAGTTTGCTCAGCTGTGAAGCAAAAGTTCGAAAGGCTAGCAAATAGCGGATTGCAGCACGGAAAAGTACAGAAGATTTTCTCTTGCGGGAAGATTTGGAGCAAACAATGGATATCAAGCAAGCACTAAAATGAAAACAGCGAGGAGTATATCTCTCAAGGGGTTTGCGATATGAGACAAGATATGAAAAGGGTGTATGAGGGTAGAGGTGCTTGTTGTTGGGGACAGTGAACTCGGAGAAGTGGATATAGTACGGGGTATGGAGGGAAGCCGGGGAAATCAGTGAGGATGTAGAGGAGAAGGAGAAAATAAGGAAGAGGAAGAGGAAGAGGAAGAGGAAGACGAGGAGGAGGAAAAGGAGGACCCTTTTATACCCACACGGGAGAGCCATCATACCTATTCAGGAAGGGGAAGCGAGAAACTTGGGAAGGGATGAAGGGGGGTTTGAGTACGGAAGGGGAAGGAATGGGCAGGAAGAGATAGGAGGAGGCAGGAAGGGAAGGAAATGAGGACAAGAGGAGAAAGCGGGAACGAGGGAAAGAGGAGAAGAACCAAGGGCAACCAGCCAAAAGAGCGCGCGCACACACACACACACACACACACACACACACAGACACAGACACACACGCACACACGTACAAAACCCCTCCATCCAATGGCGAGTGTTCTCTTCCGCCTCTCCCACCCCCTCGCATCCTTTCTCATCCCGGCAGCCCCTATCTAAGGTTGGTTCCCCCCTTTGCCCCTTTCGGAAGTCGTGTGGGACGCTCACCCAGCCCAATCCGCACGCTTTGCCCCCCTCCTTCTCTATATATACAACCTAGGCCGGCACCGAGTAATGGTACTGTATATAGGTACAGTACCTTAGGTTCTCTCGCCTCCCTTTCCCCCCTGGCCACCGCTCGCTCTCCTATTCCCGATCCCCGACTGGCCTCTGCGAGACTTGGCTGACCCCGCTCACCCAATCCGTCCACCAACGTCCAGAAACCCTTTCCCCACCCCCCTCCCCATCCCCCTTCCTCCCCCCAGTAGGGTAGGGCCCCGGTTAGTACTGTACATACCTAGGTAAGGCCCCAGTCGTTTGCCGTCCCAGTTCCATCTTAGTCTAGTCAGCCAGTCAGTTCATGGCTACACAGACGCCCCCCCCCCCGGCTAGCAAGTTGGTAGTTGCTTTTGTTTTTTTTTTTTTTTTTTTTTTTTTTTTTTTTTTAGTTCTTTTTCTATATTTTTTATTCTTGTTATTTTGGGCCAGCATTTTGTGGAACACCGGCAAAAACCATTCTCCCTCAGCGATCCGGGGATCAGCCAGTTATATCACGGCGGTTAGGATAAGGGGGGAATAATGGAGGAGAGAGTTGTGTGTGTGGGTGGTAAGAAGGCATGGTTAAGTTTAGGGATATGATGTGATGGGTGACAGGATCAAGCATGTCAGGGCTAAAGGCGGCGAGGACTTATTGGGATCGGGCTGCGGCTGGTAAGAGGGTTTGGTTGGCTGGATTCCTGGGTTGGTTATTAGGCGCAAAGATATGGTTCAGACGGGTTTGGCTGCTGATGGACCGTTGGTTGATATGCCAGTGGTCCGGTTAATTATAGTTGTGGGTATTATTCCAGGGTGTGGGGGTGGTCTTCGGCGGGTGTATCGTATAACCAGCTGATGTCACGTATAATAAAGTGCAGATGGTTTGAGTAATGCGCGTACAGAGCAGACAGACAGACAGTTCAGCTAGCTGATTAGATGTTGAGATTGGTGGATATAAAATCGGGACATTGGGCAGGATACTAATTATTATCTGATGTCGTTTGGGGGAACAAGGCAGATAATTTAGTTAAACAATGCACTTAAGGCACCAAGGAAAGGTTGTATGGAAGGAGAGTGATTCACATTGATGTTTGATTACAAATTACATCATTTATGTTAAACATCATCGGCATCAGTTCAACTGATTTCTCTTTATTTTTTTAACCTTTCTCTGCTTCAATTTGTTGCTTCATTTTCTTGACTTTACTCCTGGGCGGATTAGCTTACTGTGATAAAAATAATTTTTTGTGGTTGATTTTCCAAGAAGGTTGACTGGATATGTCCAACGCTAGCTGCTGCTGTGTGGTTGGGTTTGGGGCCTAAGATGGATTGGTTCTTATATGGGCAGGCGAGTTTGGGTTTCAATGGTGGTTTTTAATCTGTTTGATCTGCTGCTATTTCTTGGTCAGGCTTCCTCTCTTTTGTCTCTTGTGGGCGCTTTTTTCCTGAGGTGAACTATTAGTGGGAGGACGGTTTGATTCTCGCAAGGGATATTCTGATGGAATGGCCTGGCGGGTGATCTGGGGACAGATTGCTGGAACTTCATGGGGTTAAGTTACATGTAGGTGATTGGAATAGAGTAGAAGTCATTGGTAAATAGGAGAGGAATATGGAGAGAGATAGCAGCAGAGGATATACAAATCGGAGAATGGCGCTATCCGTTGGGTAGAGATGATTTCATCAGTTGCTCCGTATTTTAGGCGCTGTTAATTTCGTATAGCTCAATGCGTGCAGCACAAGATATTTTAACTTCTTGTGCCAGTTTGCAATAAATAAATACATAAATAAATAAATAAATAAAAATCTCACAGGACCTGGAGTTTACTGGTAGTTATAAAAGAAACTTTTAACTATTTACTCCCTGCTGCACCTATTCCAATGACACATACGCACAAAACACACAACATATGAAAATCGGCGGGGGAGAGAATAAATAAATAATAACTTATCAGACCAATAATGACGAAAGGAGAAGGGAAAGGAAAAGTGAATGCAAGAATACTATTAACTAATATTAGCTACCTACGTACGGAGTACCAACTTCCTTGGGCAAAGCGTCTGATTGCCCTGTTAAAGTTACGATTGTGGCGGTTGGAAACGGAATTTATTTCCCTTTTCACCCTTCTGCCTTCGCAATCGGAGTGTGGATCGGATATTCAAATATGTGCCGTAACTACAGTGCGGATGCCGTTTATTCTATTGGGGGGTCACTTAAAGATAACTATCCCTCGAGAGAATTGGAAGTTTCACGGCGCAATGATCCATGATCCACACAACTATTACCTTCTGCTGCTGTCCACGAAAAAGAGATGAAACCGTCTCTTGGAACGCATGGGGGGACGAACCAAACCCGTAGTTAAAAAGGCAAAAGGAAGCTGAAAGCGTTAAACTACCGTCGATTCTTAGCGGGACAAGATCAGGTTTTCCTTTCGTACGTTCCAACGTTTGCTGCCAAAGTTTTCCCCTTCTACACCGCCAAAACCTCTGCGCGAATGGCCGAAGGCTTGTGCAGTAAGTGCCGTACATGTAAAGTACAGGGAGATACATATACGCCTGGAAGAGCTACGGAGTAGAAATATATCGATTATTTCCTCTGTTTGCTTCTTTCTCATGGTACGCAGTACTTCGTTATACTATTATACGACTCGCCTCCAATGGAAAACACGACAGATCAATATCTGCGTCCGCTTTTCAATCGAAGCAAGGTATAGTTATAAAGCATCACGTCTTAGTCAAGACTCCATTTAATAATAATAAAAAAGTACCTGTTATGTCAACCACGGTATCGTATCCCCCGTCCTGTCGGTCATG